CATTCATCAATTTAAAATCCTGTTGGTCGAGACCATTACTAGTCTCTTGTGTTTTGATTGTCATTAGTCTCTTGACTTTGTGTATAATCATAAGTTCTTCTTTCTATAATTAATCTATGTCCTTTTTCTTGTAAGGAAGACATGTTCAAAAAACAAAGCATTTCCTTGCCTCTATATAATAGTGTTTCATATTTTTTATATCAAGTATTTCTGATTTATAAGTCAGAACCGATATGTATTACACTATCTTGAGCGAACTAACCAACAATAAAGTTGAATGTAATGACAGTTGTACCGAAAGTTGCTATGAATAAGAATAACACATCTTTTGTTTATATTCTTGAGTCAGAATTTATGGCAGGTAGATTAGGACATGTGAATTTTGATACTTTGTGTAGATTAATTAGTTTAGATTATATACCAAACTTTGAAATTAATCCTAATCATAAATGTGAAATTTGTGTAGATAAGGTCCCATTTAAATTGGTTGAAAGAAAAATCGAACCTCTAGAATTAATTCATACTGATGTATGTGATCTTAAATTTGTTCAAACTAAAGGAGACAAAAAGTATTTCATAACATTTATCGATGATTGCACAAAATATTGTTATGTATATTTACTTAGAAGCAAAGATGAAGCCATAGAAATGTTTAAACTCTATAAAACAGAAGTTGAAAACCAACTTAGAAAAACCATTAAAATGGTTAGAAGTGATATGAGTGGAAAATATGATGCACCATTAAATGAATTTTGTGTACAATATGGCATTATTCACCAAACTACAGCACCCTATTCTCCTCAGCAAAATGGAATTGCTGAAAGAAAGAATAGAACCCTAAAAAAATGATGAATGCCATGTTATTAAGTTCAGGCTTACCACAGAACTTGTGGGGGAAAGCAATATTGTCTGCTAATTATGTTCTTAACAAAATACCCCACAAGAAAACCAATAGCACTTCTTATGAATTGTGGAAAGGTCGACCGCCTTCCTACAAATACTTAAAAGTGTGGGGTGTTTGGCAAAAGTTGAAGTTGAAGTTCCTGTTCCTAAAAAGACTAAGATTGGACAAAAAATAGTAGATTGTGTGTTTATTGGTTATGCTCAGAATAGTAATACATATCGGTTTCTGACTTATAAATCAGAAATACTTGATATAAATATGAACACTATTATAGAGTCAAGGAATGCTTTGTTTTTTGAACATGTCTTTCCTTACAAGAAAGGACAAGAATTAAGTTCATAGAAAAGAACTTATGATTATACACAAAGTCAAGAGACTAATGGCAATCAAACACAAGAGACTAGTAATGGTCTCGACCAATAGGATTTAATTGATGATGAACCAAGACGAAGTAAGAGAGCAAGAACATCAAAATCCTTTGGTCTAGATTTTTTGACATACCTGTTAGAAAATGAACCTCAAAACTTTAAGGAAGTAATGACAGGTCCTTAAGCACTTTTGTGGAAAGAAGCTATTAATAATGAAATTGAATCCATTATGCAAAATCATACTTGAGAATTGGTGGATCTTCCACCTGGTTCAAAACCTCTTGGATATAAGTGAATATTCAAGAAAAAAATGAAAGCAGATGGTTTAATAGACAAGTATAATGCAAGATTTGTAGTAAAAGGTTACAGACAAAAGGAAGGTCTAAACTATTTTGACACATATTCCCCAGTGACAAGAATAACATCCATTTGCATGTTAATTGCTATAGTAGTGTTATTTAAATTAGAGATACATCAAATGGATGTTAAGACAACTTTCTTAAACGGTGATCTAAATGAAGAGATCTATATGGAGCAACCCGAAGGGTTTGTAGTGCCGGGGCAAGAAAAGAAAGTTTGTCGGCTTGTAAAATCTCTTTATGGATTAAAACAAGCACCTAAGCAATGGCATGAAAAATTTGGCCGGAGTAACATTGCGGTCTTCCCTGGGCCGAAGTAACATTGCGGCCTTTTCACCAAGTTTTTGGCACTTTGGGCCACAAAGCCCATCTCATAGCTCGGCCCAATTTTTACCAAAAATTACCCTCTCATAAATGAAGAGATCTATATGGAGCAACCCGAAGGGTTTGTAGTGCCGGGGCAAGAAAAGAAAGTTTGTCGGCTTGTAAAATCTCTATATGGATTAAAACAAGCACCTAAGCAATGGCAGGAAAAATTTGATCATGCAATGCTTACTAATGGGTTTAAGATAAACGAATTTGACAAGTGCATCTATGTTAAAAACACTGACCAAGGATATGTCATAGTTTGTTTTTATGTGGATGACATGCTTATCATTGGAAACAGTCAAAATATGATCAAATCAACTAAGCAAATGCTTAACACAAGATTTGATATGAAAGATATGGGGGTCGCAGATGTTATATTAGGAATGAAAATTACTAAAACATCTGACGGATATGCATTATCTCAATCACATTATATTGAGAAAATTCTTGGTAAATTTATCAAGGATGATATGAAGTTAGCTAGAACACCTGTAGACATTAGTCATTATTTATCGAAAAATAAAGGTAATGCGGTGTCTCAGTTAAAATACTCCAAAATCATTGGAAGCCTAATGTACCTAATGAATTATACTCGTCCTGACATAGCTTATGCAATTAGTAAATTGAGTAGGTACACTTGTAATCCCGGAGAAGACCATTGGAAAGCGATCATTCGGGTTCTTAGATGTCTAAGATTTACTCATGATCATGGTTTGAACTTTACTCGATATCCAGCAGTACTCGAAGGTTATTGTGATGCCAATTGGATATCAAATACTAAAGATTCAAAATCCACTAGTGGATATGTCTTTACTCTGGGAAGCGCTGCTGTTTCTTGGAAATCCACGAAACAAACATGCATTGCACGATCCACAATGGAATCCGAGTTTATTGCTTTAGACAAAGCAGGAGAAGAAGCAGAATGGCTTCGTCACTTCTTAGAAGACATTCCAATGTAGCCTAAACCTGTGCCAGTTATTTGCATTCATTGTGATAGTTAATCTACAATAGACAGGGCACAAAATCATATATATAATGGTAAGTCACGATACATTCGTCGTCAACATAATACCGTAAGGCAATTGCTCTCAAATGGAATAATCTCAATAGATTATATAAAATCTAAAAAAAATATTGCGGATTCGTTAACAAAAGGTTTGACAAAAGAGCAAGTGTATAGTTCATCGAAGGGAATGGGATTAAAGCCTATTATATAAGAGTCATCATAATGGTAACCCTACTTATATGACTGGAGATCCCAAGAACTAAGTTCAAAGGGACAACTAAGTTATGTGTGGCTCGCCAGAAATCACCAAGGGATTAAAATTCCTTACCCATTCCTATGGTGAGAGTGATATTTGTAACATGTGTTGTCTGCAGGGGTATAAGGATAAGCTTTGCTTTTAATGATTACTTATATCTTGATTAAGGCATAAAATCAAGACGAGTATAAGGAGATACTCACAATAAGAATCACCTATATGAGTATTGAACTGGGGCCGGTTCTATGAGAATAAAAAGGCAAAATTCTCTAGAAACACTCATGAAAACTAGAAGCGTTCAAGGCCAAAATGAACACAACAGTGAGAACCACGATGTGTTAGAAGATATTTTGTGTGAAATCTATTGTCTTGGCTTACACAAACGGCTGAACAATTCAAGGCATCGCGTCCATTGGTTAGATTAAGAGTTGTAAGATAGAACAGCATCTTCTGCTGCCATCTCTTAAACTCGGTACCATTAAATTTTTTCCGGTTTTTCTCCATGATTGATTGGTACATGAACATGGTTCTGGATAGGGACCGATGTAGGTGTAACAATAGGAGTACCACTGCCAGATGCAGTTTCAGTTGTAGTAGCCATAATCTCTGATTACAAAAATCAGAACAAACACAAAATAATTTTCTAGTTACCAAAACCAGAAAATAAATTAAAACACAAAATAATTTTATTTTCTTTGTTACTAAAACTAGAAAAATAAAATATCACAAGAATTTTCTGTAATACCAAATAATATTCTGAATTGTTAATGACACCAGTATCGTACTACTAGAAGTTGTCAAAGAAAAGAGACAGTATATTACTACTATCTATC